TGTTTTTATTTAAATTAAAAGAATATATAAAGATTATATCATTTTATGTTGTAATATTTTATCATTAATAAATCACTATCTTACGCTTTGTCTCATAGACAAAGCGAAAAAAGAAAAAAGAAAAAAGAAAAAAAAGAATTGACTTCAATAGTCTTCAATCACCAAAAGATAGATTCATTGAAAAAGGAAAGAAACGAGAAAGAAATAAAACTATGATTTGGAGTAATCAAGTATGATCCATGAACAAAAGTCCTTCCTTATGAATTTTATACAAAAAGCAGCAGGTCTATCTTGTTGATATGATTGAGTTAGGGAAAAAGGAAAGATAGGAAGCACTTGCTGATATATGCATGTTAAATTTGTTAGTCTTTGATGCCTTTGTGGGTCTTAAATGGCCTTCAACCCCTGATTGTGGAATCTGCTTTCACTACATCGCTAAATGGGATGCGTGATTCTTTCAATTTTCTCCAAACTCTTACCGACCTCTCCTTTTTCACTCTGGAAGGTGTTCTTTGCTCTATTGTTTTTATCCATTGTTTAATTAATTATTCTTTCTTGATGCAAATATCTTCTGAAATATCAGATCATAATAAATAAAAAAAAGGAAATTGCAAGATATGAAAATTTGGTATTATTATTTTGAATAGAATGTATTTGCAATGAATTCAACCAAAAAAAAAAAATTCAATGTCAATCTAGAAACTGAGTTCTAATATTTGAAGCTAGCTTAATCACAGATAAGGAACTGCCAGCAGTTGCTTGCAATGCCAAACATTTTCTTGTAGCTAATCAACATAAATATTTTGTGGACTATGTTTGTTTGAACTTTCACCACTATTCACGAGCATTCTAAGACCGGCTTTCAACTTTGGTACCGCTTCCTCCAAGAGCACACACTAGATTCGATTGGAACACCTTGTGTCCTTCTCGTAATTCTTCATAAATTTCTTCAGCATGTGTCTCATAGATTTCATTTGCCACCACCAAGGATGATCAATCAGGCATAACTTCTTGGTGGCTCAAGTTCTAAGACTAAATCTTGTAGCTGTTCCCATGGTGGGACTCCTTTTCTACCATCCAATGCTGCAGCTAAGTCTACAACATAAGTCAATACATAATTAGTGCGTTCTCCGTGCCGCAGAAAAAGCATGTCCTAGTCCACGATTCTGATGAGCCCCTTTTATCAATTCGGGGAATATCAACCACTGTGATTCATAAGTTTTTAAATTTTAAGTTCCTTAATTTTGGCCTTAGAGTCGTGAAGGACAAATAATGTGATAACAATGCAAAAAACTATAGCCCCAAATCTTAGTGGAGCATTTCAGAATCACATCACCAACTCTTCCACCATTCCCACCTACATTAATTCCACAAACACATGATAGAAGAACAGATACAATGAACAATTCTTCATCAATATTACTAGAATAGTTGCTCTTGATTATCAAGATTATTAGAAATGGAACAGAGATATATACTGTAGTGATAGTAAAACGTAGACAAATTGTGAAGAAAACTGTAGTTACTATGTCAAACACAAATACATATCAGTATAATTGGTTAATTACAGCTCGTAGAGAAAAAACACTGGTAATATAACAACCGCCTAATATTAGGCTTACCACCAGAAGTGCTGCGACAACCATTGCCACCATCACCTTCTTGGGCATACAAGATACATCTATCTCTCATTCTAGTCTTCTAAAAAATGGTATAAATAAAAAATGTACGACGAGTTAAGCTTATTAGCATATATAGTTAAAAATTTCTGATCCAATAGGGGTGGATGAGTTGGGTGACAAAACTGTAAAGGTCTTCCCTTGTGGAGTTTCTGAGTAGGAAAAGAAAGAGAATACAAGGCATGGTGGTTTAAGAGGAAAGATATACATTTTGTTAAATAATGATTTAAAAGAATGACTAAGAAAAAATGATAAAGATGAGAGGATAATAAGACATTGAATAATAATAAATAAATTATTAATTTAAAGAGGAAAAAAGAGAGAAATAACATATATTCTTTATTTTATATTGGTTAAAATTTATAACTTTATTAATATGTGTATAAATTTATTGCACATATTATTGGATCATTTGTGATTTTAAGATATTTATATATTATTGTAATATTCATGAGAAAACAAAAAATAACTAATCATATATAGAAAGAGAAAAATTGGGTGAAAAGATATATAAAAATAGATGTTGCTGCAAAGGGTGACTAAGCAATAATGATATTGAGAGGAGAATAAAAAGAGAAATAATAATAACCAATAAATTATCAATATAGAAAAGGAAAATGAGGGTAGATAATTTACAGAAAAAGAGAGAGTAAATTAAGAAATGGTATCATAAGAAAAACAAATGAGAGGTGGAAGTACGGAAGCAAAAAGTTACTAATGAAATAATGTTAAAAACTTATGACTTTTAAATTTTGATTCCAAACATATTTAATTTAGATAAAGGGAGAAAGAAAAAATTGGAATAAAAAAAAAAAAAATATATATATATATATATATATAATGACCGATAAAGGTTGAATGAGTGATTAAAAAAATAATATAATGGGTGGATAAAGAGAGAAAGAATAATAATACACAAATTATTAATATAGAAAATGAGAAATTAAGACAAATTTATGTAGATAAATATATATAATGATAAAATAAATAAAAGTAAGTTAGTAGATGGTGGCACAAGAAAAATTAGTAAAAGGAGGAGTATAGGTAAATGAGAACATACCAAGAAAAGAATGGTAATTACATGTGTTCAAGAAAGATAAGACAAATTAAGATAAAAAAAAAATATAATTGTAGTAGTTACACTTGTAAAGATAAAAAAAATTAATAAGGATTTGATGACGTGCTCTACCATGTTTATTTCAACCAATTTTAATTAATATAAAAATTAAAATTATGTTTATAATAAAATAATATTTGTTTGAAATTAGTTTTGTATTCATTAATTAAAAATTAATTTTAATTGAGAAGCCAAATTCCAAACAAACCAGCGACCAAACACAGGACATAAACAGAGATCGAAGCCAAATTCACGGCTGTCTTATTTACGGCAAGATGTTGTATTGATAATACATATGTAGACCACAAGACACCATGTTTTAGTCTTATAT